GAATTGTTCTGGCGCAGGGCCCACATCATGAGGAAAGTTGATCTAAAAGCTGTTACCTGAATTCAGATAATAGGCCTGCCAGCCTGGAATACCTCCTTCAATTACTTGCCTGGGCGCCTCACATTGTTTTCAACCACCGGTGAGCAATATGAGTCGCATCGCCGACGAAACAAATGACAACGGCATCCCCGGCCACCGGCTTCGCGTGGACGCCTCCGGTCTCGCTGGTCACCCGAGGTATTATCCGGACACCACCAACGAGTGGCGTGGACCTGCGGAACCCTGACGGTCACGCAGAAGTGGCGGCAGATGGTGTAGTAGACCTGGGAAGGTTTGAAGGAACTCTTTCAGATTCCACCTCCTAAATCATCCTAAATCCATGATCATGGATCTTAAGCAAAGATGTTCTTGGTGCCTCAAAGCCAATTGGAAGGGCAAGGCTGCGTTATTTGCTCTTCCTGCATTTGATGTTATTTGATGCTGGGCACTGGTGAGTCGTTTGCGTGATGCTTCATCGGCTGCTGGGCGATGTCATTGAATTCTTGAGACATTTTTGCTAGGAGGTAGGGCTGGCAAGGTTTCCTTTATGCTTAAAAGATGTCGAACCAGTTTTAGATTGCCTGAATCGGATTTTTTAAGCTTCAATATGCTTTAATATTCTTTGTTCAGAAGATCAGAAGGGGGAGAACGGCTTGAAACATGGTGAACACCTCCCAGGATGAATCAACAAAACATAACCCTCCACATACATATGGGGTTCCCAAACTGTAGTGAGACAGGGGGAGAGAGGAAGAGAGGGCGGGCCCTCTCAAAGGAGGACGTTTGCACCATGCCATCGGTGTTCCTGGCGGTGTCCCGGTTCCTTCGAAGGAACGTCCGGGAGGTCGTTCTCCCATTATCAGACACTTAGTTGACTGAGTCAACTGAGTCATATTTGACTATATTTTTCCGTGAAACATCCTGAAACCTCCCCAATGTAGGTCAACATGCCAAGGTCCCATTGTTTGGGATTGATTCCTTCCCCTTTTCTCCCTTGGCTCGAACGTCCCTTAGGAGCTGTCAGCTGTTCACATCGCACAGGCGCCCGCCGTTCGGTCCGTCGCGGCGGGCAGCGTGACATGAAGTAAATGGACTTTGCTAAGTCGAAGCCTGCCAGGTGCATACAACTGAGTATGCTATCATGTCACCAGAGTCTCACAGTGATTAACACATGTCAAGTGTCAAAACATGCCTTGAAATCAAAGACTCACTGCCTTGAAGCAAGTCAGCGCAATGAAAGAAGAAAACCACCGGCCTTCCACAATTGATTGGGCCAATCACTTCGCATCGCCCCCGGCCAGATGCGAGAGATGCTGGGGCCCAGCAACTCGGAAGGATTCTTTCTCCACCCCCGTTGGGGTGGACTGAGGGAGCACGAAGTGTCCCTGGGGCATAGAGCCTGGTAGGTCCCAGAGAGAAAGAGCTGGTTAGAGGTTAGAAGCCTTAATGACTGGACCCATAGAGCATCTTCTTAGATCTTAGATGATCATAGTGGGTGTTTTGATTAACATGTCAATTGACATCGACGACGACCATCGACTCAGCTCGGCGGGTCGATGGCCAAACGGCGGAGGAGTTCGTCCCAACTCCCAGAACCATCCGGACTGCCGCAGACCTGGAAACCCATGGATATCCATGGAAACCCTGTTTCCACTTGATTCAATTTCCTATTGTGCCTTTTTTCTGCTGTCCACCTCATGTCCACCTGAACCGCCGATCCGGCTTGAGGAAACATCCACACCATCCCAGGTGGCGCGGCCGTGGACCCAATCCAAGCCTTCCGTGCGCATTGGAATCTGGACGGCACGTGTGGGAGCCCAGCCGAGTCCGGCAAGCGCCCAGCCGACGCTCTCGGCCTCGAGAGGTGCCCGGAGGCCCAGGAGATGGCTCCAGGCGTGTTGGGGTGGGGTGGTTTTGGAAACCTTTCGGAGTCCTCCTTTGGGGCCTCAGATGGAAGAGCAAGCAGCATGGTGAGGAAACGAAGATAGAAGATTCAAAGGGTGGGCTATGGGTGTGTACCATGCCTCCAGGCCTGCGATACTGCGCACATTTGTCTCTCTTGTTGTCATGCTCTATCTACCAGTTCTTCCGTCCTCCAGGAACAGGCATGCATTGTATACATGACATCCTTCCAGTGTCCCTCCAGCTTGTTAGAATGTCATCAACCTGGGTTGACCAAGGCAAGAAGTGCGACTGCGGCTTTTGTGCCACAAGGACCGCAGAAACTTCTGACCAGTGACTTGGTTTTCCGGGTGTTGCATCGTGCTGAAAACATTTGAGAACAACATATAACCATGTGAGAGCTCATGCGTCATATAAGTCATGTCATACTATGCCCTTGCCCGTGAGAACCAAACTGAACTCAGTTGAGGTAGGACAACCCCGCCTACAACACCAGGGAACGAAGCTCGAACGATGACTTGACGAGCCTCGTTCTTCTTGCTCACACATGCTCACACCCCTCGTACGTCGCGCATCTCCACAAGGACGTGCGCTACGTCATGCGGCACTACGACGGAACACGGCCGTCCCGTGGCCGGAGCGGTGGAACGGTGGGAAGTCCCATGGGTCGACCTCGTTGGTCGACCTTGTCCGGTCCTCGAACTTGGTTTTTTGGGGACCCGCGTGGATGCATTTGGCACCATCTACATGAATACCATGAACAATGAATAACAATGATCATTGATCTCCATGAGCGAGAGTCGGTGCACGGAACCACTGTATATGTGTCCAATATGATTCGAATTTATTCCCCAAACCCTTGCAAAAAAAGAAACTCCTGAGCTCCGCCGTTCTCTTCATGAACGAAAACGTGGACGCCCTCAGGTTGGAGCAAGTCATGGAAGAGGCGAAGCCCAAGCCGCCCTTGAAAGGCTTGACGGAAGCTGAGCGAGCAGTCCAGTGTATGGATCGGTGCATTCAGTCCAAGGGAGTCGAGAAAGGGTCCTTCTGGATGTGTATGCATAAGGTTTATGGAGTGGTTTTGACGTGTTAATGATTGTTAATGGGGCGTTCTTCATGTTCGAGGATCTTCTGGTTTGAGTCGCACCAACGGAATGTGGTTGGGCAAGGGTCTTGACGTGTGCATCGTTCGCCACCAATTGAGGGTCTTTGACGTCACTCACTACTCCAAAACGAGTCCATGAGTCCATTGAATGTGTCCTCTACCAGTAGCGATTGAGATTGTCTTTGGGCCTACTTGTCACATGTCATGTTTTGTCCATAAATCATCTTGAAGGGTCCCAGCTTAAAGCCCAGGAAGGAGCTGCGCCCAGCTTCCCCTCGGGATCCAAGGCAGGGAATTCTCACGGCTGAGATTCTGATGAGATTCTTTAGTGTTCCTCATTGACAGTTGAATTGCTGTTCCTCATTGGGCACACCACCAACGCCGTAGCGCAGACGTGGCAGTGCCGTCATGTTTTCGTTCTTAGAGGTCCGACTCCGCTCCGACTCACCAGGCCATTGGCCGCTTCTACCGCCTGGAGATCATTGATCCCACCACTGACGCAGTGGTCTTTGGCGATGCCAACTTGTCCTTCGCACTGAACCTGGCGCGACACCGTCGCCCGACACGAGCAAAGCGGGTGGGTTTGGGCTGTAAAAATGTGGAACATGGTGGAACCGAGGTGTCTAGCTGGTTTGGAGTAGCGGTGTCCATCATATTATTGAAAAGGGTGGAAATGATTGGAGAGGAAGGTATGGCATGGTATGGCCACGTGTTGGCGCGTATTACCTATAATCACTCGTATTGCAAATGTAAATTGCCAGATGCAGTTGCAGGTCCTGAAGTGAAGCATTGAAAAGTCAAAGGAACTCTTATGTTCTTGTGTTGGGGTGGTGCTTTTTGTTTTCAAAGCTGTGTGTTGGGGATTTGGAGAGATATATTAAGGCAAAATGCTATGCAATTAATGCATTATGAGTTTCATTATGTATACTGGATAAGGAAATCAGTTGAAGCCATTGACCAGTCTACTGACCAATATTGACCATACAACCCTCAAAATTGCCTATATAACATTATATAATTCGTTTTGATATCTTAGTTCAATTATATAGGAGATCTATCAAAATGGCTGCAGCACATTCACTGCCCAAATTTTTTTGGGGGACCTTTGCTTGACCGAAAAAGAACCAAAAACACTTGACGTTTTCGGGGCCGCCGGGTGTCCTCCACGTTTTGGCGGGCTGCCCGGTGCCGCCGGCGAACTGGGTCACTGAGGAAAGGCACTGGGCCATGTGGGACGCATCATTGCGACGACCTTCGAAAACTTGGAGTAGCTTGGAGTAACTTGGAGGGTCGCGGATGGTCCTCCCGTGGAGAGAGTCAACCTGGTTTAGGGCCGGGCAGACGATGTAGATAGTGAACGTGACACGAAGCTGGAGGTGCCAGTAGTCTGAGCGTTTGTATACGGACCACTTCACAGCTGTCAGGTCAGTCAACCCTAACTAAGGAGTTCTTCAATCGATGATTCCCAGGCAAACACCCCTTACATAGCCAGCCACCACCTGAGTCGTTTCAGATGCACCTGGCACTGGGTGCACCACCTGGGTCCGGCTGAGCCGGGACACGGAGCTCGGCCTCAGCCTCGCCGTCGGCTCCGTGGCTCGGCGCCCGAGGACGCTTCGTGAACGTTACACCGAGTCCGGGCTCCCCGCCGCGGGCGTTCGCGCGCGCGCGGAACGAAGAGGCGCCAGCATCGAAGAGCCCAGATCCGATCCCCAAAGACTGAAAATCACAATGGTGGATCTATAGTTGATTGATCTGTGTGTGACCTAGATTTTGGAGTGGTTACCGGCAGGAGTCCAGGTGGATTTTGTCCAATCCTATCCGATCTTCATATCCAATCATAGAAAAAATCACGCGAGATTGCGTGACAACACAGAGACGATGACCCCCAGCAGCACCCCCACAGGTGTGTAGTCCGGGTCAGGGTCTTTACGGTTTTCCCAGTGTTGTGTGTTGCGAGCAACCGTTGGGGGCCAATGTGGGCTTGCTGGCGTCTCCATTGCATGGCGTTTTCTGAGAGATGTTCTGAAGAGCTTGCAAGATCGCCCTGCACATTTGTTCCTTTCCCACTCGACGTGATGCTGGTCATGCATCCCATTCCACGAGATGCACGTGGGCCATGGTGGCTCAACAAATTATAGAACCCCGCGCTACTCGCGGAGCCAATGAATGTGACTCGGCGTCCAGCTCCTAGGAGCTGATTGAAGGCAAGTTCTCCTCCACCGGGAACTGTGATCATTTGCAGAAAGTGGACACTGGTTTCCTGGTACTATAGCTGAACGGGGAGATGACTGCACTTTCTTGTATGGAGTGCAGCCCAGATATATGTTGCGTTTCATTGTGGCGTCTAGCATCACCCTCACCATTCGCTGACTCCACCCATTCACGAAAACTGTTTTTTTCCAGACTAGGTATGACTAGGTGCTTTGCAACGGATTTGGCATGGGACCGTGCTCCCAGGACCGTGCTTTGTCAAATCTTTCTCACCTCTGTCGCCGCGCCTCGATCCGAATGCGGAGATGAAGGCGCCGAGGGGCGAGAGAGGGGCCAAGTCTTGAGAAGGGCGTTTCGGTCTGAGGTTTCTGGTCTTTTTGATTGAGTTTGTCTTGGTTTGCTTGGTTGGTTTGAGTCATTGTTGCTTGATTTTGCTTGATAATTTGGTTGATTTGTGGTTTGCCCATTCGATCAATCAAAGGCACGAGGTTTTCTTGAGCTATGTTAGCGGAAGTAGCAGCCTTCAATGCATAGTCTTTTTGCCGCTTTGCAACCCGAACGCCAGGTGCTTGCAATCTTCACTTTTTACTGCGTCACCCATGCCCTGCGTCCAGAATTGGATTTGACGGTGACTCGGCCCATTCGTTTTGGAATTCCAGTGACCGGAGCTCGTGACCAGATTTTGCTGACCAGGAAAACCAACCCTATCCAACCCCCATCCTAACAATAAGATTGGACCTCCAAGGCGACATGAAGACTGGCCTATTTGGTCACCACTTGGCACACCTTCATCTAGACCGTTGATACATAACCTCCCCATAATGGAGATACAAACCACTATATATATATATATAAAGACCATCCGCTGGTATACCGGGGTTTTCTATTGAGTTGTATATATTGATATCAATTTCACACGAGCTCTCCTCCTTCGCCTCCAGGAAGGACATTTGAATTGGCACGCCGGAACATCGGAGAAGCGGAAGCTTCGTGCCTTGGCACCGGGGTCCCTCAGGGCCCTCGCCTCGATGATGACGTCACACCGTGGTCGTCTCCAGAGCAGTGAGAGTAGGAAGCATGAACATCAGGAGACCTCCAGGGTCTCTTAGAATTGAAGACCCAAGTGCTTCCTTGACATGACCGTGTGCACATATTGCACGCTGATGTATCAGTGCGCAGCATGGTCCCCAAAAGCCACTGACCGCCCGTGTGGGTTGAGCAGAAAAGTCATGGCTGCCCTGCCCAGCCCTGCTCCACCCTGGTTGTGTCATGGCCAATCCTTTTTGATCGATCGCTTCAAGGAAGTGAAATGGGATCAGCGGTACAGATGCTGATGGAAGCTGCAGATAGCAACTGAGCTAAGACTGGTGGACTGGTTGGTTTTCTCTGGTTTTCTCCATTGTATCGGGGAATGTTGGGCGTTCTTTTGGAACAGCCCCAAGATGAAGCCTTGCCTCCCCCACTTTGGTTGGGAGACTTGGGCAACAAAGAAGGCAAGACGACCAGGATAGCTATTGTAAACATCCAAGGCTCCAGCGGCTTCTATTGTTTTAGACTGATGTTTGCCAACTTTAGAGGGGAGAGTTCATGGATGTGGTGGCAGACCTGAAAAAGTCCAAGTGCAGCTGGACTCCGGACTTGGGAATAGCAGCTCGAATCCTGCCCTCGGAAGTCTGGATCCACTTGATGGACTTGGATCAGGATTAAGACTGCCGGACTTCTGAGCAGAGCGTTGCTCCCTCCTTGTCGTCGGGAAGACGTCGACGTCGCTGCTCCTCGACTCCTCGACTCCTCGGACCTTGAAACCCCGGACGTCGCGGGCCGCGTCGCAGGTTTCTTCTTGAGCGCTGCCATGCAGGCAGAGCGCGCTGAAGCGGAGAGCTATCAGGTGGCCCAGGGAATTTCTCAACTGGGACTACCTCTGCAAGAGCGTTGCTTGGTCAAGAAGGTCCTTTCGGGAGCAAAAAAGGGACGTGAGAAGGGGTGAGAACATGAGAATCAGTGGGATCGATGATCAGGGTATTTTTCCCCACATCTCTGTGTGGGGTTCTAGTTTTTTGGCTGCCATCCCGCCCGACTCCGCCCGCCCGCCCGTCCCTCCCTCCGTCCCTCGCTCCTTCCCGCCGTCCACTCACTCACTCACTCACTCACTCACTCACTCACTCACTCACTCACTCACTCACTCACTCACTCACTCACTCACTC